ACTTGTTGCAATCTCAGAAACAAAGAACGGGAAACAAAAGCAAAGAAAGTCCCCAAGATGTAACATGGTGCCAGTCAGGCTAAACCAATAACCATCTGACAGAGGCTCTTTTGTAACCACTAACTTGATAACAATGCAAAAAAAATTGTAATTGATCATGTCGAAACAATAATGGGGCCTGATGAACTCACTACAAAATCACTGCCAGATGGAACGAACAGTGTGAGACTGATTCATCATTCTCAGTCTATGGAAAGAAACTAACTCTTACTTGTTTTGTAATTCAAAGCTGTGACTTTCATGTCCAACTAACACTTATGCAGCTGTAGAAGAAGTCTGGCCAGTAAGTAAGGATGCATTAATCTGACTCATGATACTTTCTGATTCCTAAACTTTAGGTACAGATCTGATACCAGTGCTCTGCTTCCCAAATTGAAAATCTATAAACCACACTGCGTGGAACTCATAATCATTTTATGTAAGGTAACAGGAGAACAGGGATTGTTGTGGCACTAAAAACCGTGTCAGTGGCCAACCATGATTGAATAAATGAAACTGATAACAGAAACACTAAATTATATGATGACACTGAAAAAGAAACTGTATCTACTATGAGTTGGTCACACCACAGCAGATATGTGGTCTGCTTAATAAGGAAAGTATTAGTTACAAGCCTGAACCAATGCAACTTATTGGTCCCTCATACTAGGCCTTAAGCTGCCAGCACAGTCAGTCAGTACTGCTTTGTCAAATGGTCATAATTATAATTTTCTGAAACTGATGATTTGATAGTCACACTCATTTTACACCACAATTATCCAGGTGTGTTGAGGTGAGGGTTTTTTTTCCATTCTTTACATAAATACTTCTGTCACTTTTTGTGTGAACACACAAATACAACACTGAATGTCTTCCAGGAAACACTGTTTGAAAATGTGAGGTGTTATCTCCATATTTAAATGATTATCAGATCTCACACCTCTCTGTGATGGTTGGCTTTTCACTCCACCTTTGAGTGTGGCCGTTTGACCACTGCGGCTGTAAACACTGTTGCTTCCCAACACGATCGCATCAATCCTTAATGTCTGGCTGTTCAACACTGAACTGATGTTCACTCTAAAGACATACAGGAGGGTGGAGAGCAGGCTGACGACAGAACATCGTGGCAAAGATAAGATAGCGAGAGTGAGAAACAGTGAAACCACAAAGTTCTGCGGACATCTAACGAGCCCAGGTCGAAGTCTGGCCCGGCTCCCATCAGCTGGCTCTCAGCCATGGGGTGTTTGCAGACAGGCTGACTGACTCTAAACTGAATGTGGAGCTGGGTGGGATTACTGCACATTCATCTGTCAGTAGGAGGAGCGATGGATGGACAAAATGAGGGAGTGATGGGAAGGAGAGAAAATTCAATTACAGAAGTTAGCTCTGCATTCAGCACATGAATCACTCACAGCGCAGGTAGTAAATAACTGAGTGACGTCCTCTGGCTGAATTACTACCAGTTTACTCAAGGCTGGAGCTGCTGACAGGAGCAGAACCTGCAGATGAAGCTACACACAGACAGTCCCCTCAATATAATATTAAAGTCTAAGAGATCGTATTCAGTTCAGGACCATTTCCCCCTCCACAGGGTTGCTGCGGTAACTGATGCAAAGGATATACAACCAACAACACTTTAAACAGGAGAACATTTTCTATGTTCACTCACAGGAAAGTTATTTTGAGCTCCACAGTTCATTCTTGACCTTGGAAACAGAAGCAGACAAAAATAATCTCCACTCAAGGTCCTCTTACTTGCTTGTTCTGGAGCTTTCAACCATAAAACAATTGAACTAACATGCACACAAAGTCCTTAAAATGCTCAGAATAGCTGAAAGTTTGAGCATCTGCAGCTCCATGTCAACTGAGCAAACTCAGTCTTTGTGAAGAGAGCCATGCAATGCAGTTGAAAGCTCCACACCAGGCTACTACTTATTTTGAGTGGCGATTTTTTTTAAAAACAAAATTATCGTGCTCTTATACTAAAGCACTTACTGTTGTCCTGCTGCAACACACTTTGTATTGCCTATTTTTGTCACTTTGATGTTATCAGTGTGATGATGATAAAAACTCAAAGATTGGTGAGAGGGATGACACATCCTAGTCCTCGAGCCCAACATGAAATACTATACACACTGTGGGGAAACAGGTCAGATAAAGTGAGTATAGTACAGTACAGAGAAAAAGGCTGTTACAAAAGTGTAGTTGTGGGCAAACAATTCTCAAACATATAAATAAAAGAGCAAAGCAAGGCTCGGCTTGTGTGTCGCACATCACTGTGGCAGGAGTGATGAAAAATCCCATGAGGTTCATTCTTACCTTCCTAACTCATTTAACGTTTCTCTCTGGCTGACCATCAGTTCTACGTGTCTGTCTGCAGACTGACTCATCAGCACATCATGACGCATCGAAATGTTTTCACTGACTCTGACAGCAGCTTTTTCAGGTGGAGCGTCATCAGTGAATTTAAAAAACAGGACTGTGTTTCCCTGCTGATGTGCACAGGCATCAGAGTGACTGTGCAGGACTTCAGTGTGCCGCTTCACCTTCTTCTGGCTGTGGCACAGACGTAGGGAGCTCACCTTGGTCTGCATGTCTACACAGTAATACAATTGGTCTGGCCATCTTGGCAATAAAGCCTATTTGGCTGACCCATCTCAGATTTACTTAAGTGTAAGTCAATCAGTGTCTTTGCACTGTAAGAGTAGCAATGAACCAGAGAAGGAGAAAGAAGAGGAGAGGTGGTGCAGTGATCCCTCCACCTAATTCACTTTAGAGTCCCTAAATGTTTCATTACTGAGATTGCACTGCAAAGGGCAAGCTGTCTGGAGGCAGTGTAAATGATGAAATACACACACACACACACACACACACACACACACACACACACACACACACACACACACACACACACACACACACACACACTCAGAGATGCAGAGAAAGGCCAAGCCATGAATAATTTTTGCTCATCATGACCATGACACATGACGGCTGCAGTATCTGACCAGGGGGTAAATGTGTCAGAGAAGGCAGTTTATGTGCAACAACTGGACTCAGCTTTTTATTTTAATCAGCTCTCACTATACAAAGGACCACAAGCAGTCAGCGGTTTATTGATTTAGTCAGTAGTGGGGTTTGAGGTGGCTTTAGAGGAAGTTTATGACCTAAACTGGCCACTAAACATCCTGCAACTATCACATTTTTGACATTAAATAATTTAATAAGGAAATTTAAACAATAACAGTTTTGATATTTTGGCTAAAATTGCACCTAAAAATGGAAGTGAAATACACAATACTATTTGCCTACTATTGAAATGCAGATTGAGATGATTAAATTAAATCCCACCAACTAATGACTGATGACTGAGACTAATAACACCTTCTAAAATGCAAATGGTTAGCCCGTGTATTCTGTGGATAATTTCCCTGTCATATGAGCTTCATGTAAAGTCGACAGGCGGTAGTTTTCCAGAATATGAGCCTCGCATATTTCCACACACAGCTGACATAGTTTTCATATCGTCGGCTGCCACAGCTGATAATTCAAATTTTACCTCACTGGGTGGTGTGAATAGCATAAGGATTATCAAAAGCAATTCTGCAAAGTTGACCAGTGATGAATGAGAAGGGGGTGGGGGGGGTATGCGCTTCATAAATCCTGCTGTTGTTAACTAGGATCAACTCTTCACACTGACCACATTTCTAAATACGTTAATCATGCCGCAGGGTCCAGCTGCTCTGTCACTTTTCAAACAAACTTCAAAGTGACTCTGAACATCAAAACACATTAAGGACCCAGTCAACCTTGATTATATTCATTGATATGTGCAAGGCATTATTGGTAATTATGGGAACAGTATAGGCTATTTTCATTATCATTGAATCTGCCCATTATGAAATAAATCTTTATAAAAAACAGACCAATGACAATCATAAATTATAAAAGCCTGAGTTGTCATCTTCAAATGTGTCATTTTGTCTGACTCACACCAGATCATAAAGATGTTGTGTTTATTATCACATTAGACAAAGAAAAGAACCAAATCCTTAAATGATAAACTGATTATCAAAATAGTTTCAGATGGAGATTCTCTTTCTGTTGATCAACTAAGTGATTAAGCAACTAACTTGGTATGATTGAATTTAAGTTGTATTTTAATGAATATTTCAGAGAGGTCTGTGTTTGAGTGTCTCTTTTTGTGCCAGAGGAGCATCAGAATTACCCTGCACTGCCTAATCAGCATAAACACAGCCTCAGCTTCACCTCTCCAACTACCTCAGCGGTGAGTTCATTTGGAGTCAAGACATTGTCAAACAGCCACAAAGAATTACTACTGCCTGACGAAAATCACAGTACACCTGCATTTGTGCTACTGCTGGCTTTGTGCGGCAGGAAAATTGGGCCTTCAGACACATAAAGACATATTGTATTACACCGACATACAGTATTAATCTGTTTTTTCAAGCTTTGAATGTGACTGATTCCATCACTAATCAACAAATAGACACAACTCTCCTTTGATGCTGGTATCTCATCTTTTCCATAATGCAGCAGCACTTATCAGCAGAGGTCGAGTCTATTGTTTATCTGCTTTCCGGTGCCACGACCGCATCTATCCAGCACATGAACCTACATGAACCTCTCCGCTGCGTCACAACAACAGCTCCGACTTCCACTGGTGGTCTGTAAGACAATCTGACGAAGCAGCCAAAGGAATCAGGGTCAGTTACAGGTCTGGCACCAATCCTACGTGCATGTATGTCTGACGGCACACACCAACCAGTAGGGCTGTAAATGTATGGACGCAGGTGTGTGTGTGTGTGTGTGTGTTTGTCCTCTTGCATGTTTGTGCGCGCAGCAAGTGCCACATTTCCAAGCTGTAACTTGAGGTTTAACAGCAAACAAAGAAGCAGGCAGGTGATGAGAAATGAGAGTCAGCGGATACATCCTCTTACCATGATGAGGCCGGTGGTGATCGGATCATTGCAGCCGTGACACAGCTCCCCAAATTTGGCCCAGTAGTCTTTCTTGCAGAAGAGCCGTCCATCTTTTTCATAATACCAATGGGACAGCGAGGCGCTGCACTCACAACATCTGACAGATGAAAAGACGGAAAGAGATGCATGAGTAGCTGAGCAGTTAATGAACACTTTTTATTGGGCATTTGACAATAAAATCATGTCACTCCTTTAGATCAACAATGAAGATGAGTGACACATGCAAATCCAGGAGGGAAGTCAGAAATATGCAAATTATGCATGATATGACATGATTTACATGTCATATTGTAATTATTGTATTCTGATTAGTCCTTTAATCATTTGTTCTCTTAAATATCAAAAATAGTGAACTACTATCATAAAGTCCCAGAACCCTAAGACAATGAACCCAAAGATATTCAGTTTACAATAAAACAATGATGGAAAAATGAAAACAATCGACACATCCTCACATTTGTAAAGCTGGAGCCATTTTTTCTTGATAAATGACTTAAACTATTAATTGGTCATGAAAATGTTTGATTAACTGTCTATTAATAAAGTAACTGACTAGTCAACATTTATTTTCAGCACTTACTGTAAAAGACTTTGCTCACCAAATGTAGTTGTTATTGTGTTGACAGCATATTAAGTTGTACTGCACTCTGTAAAGCCATAATTGAACCCTCCTGATGACACCCTGCAGACCCCAAATTATAGTTTTCATGGTGATAATAAATCTCTTTGTGGATCTATCGCACACCACCCAAGCTGAGGTGGAGCAGACAAATGAGATCACACCAAAACACACAACTATGACTGAGCCTTAAAAAGAACAGAGTAATGGCAAAAAGGGGAAGAACACAAAGATAAAATCATATCATTGCGGTCTACAACTACAACAACATGCTTTTCAGTACAGTGTGTGCATTTACTCAGGCAGAGACAGGGAAAGCCATATGTAGTGGTTAAACATTACGTCAATCTGTGGACTCCAGGAAGACAGTGACCGCTTTGTGGAAGCTAATGGGAATCCACATAGAGGAGAAAGTCAAAGATTTTAAAGTAAAGTCAATGGATGTTTGCCAAGAATGAACTGTGCAAAGACGCGTTTAGACGCGTTAGACATTTAGATTCTTATACATCACACAACACCACCAGGGAGGCGTCTGATCGGTCCCTGATTCACTGTGCAGCAGGACGAGCCCAAACACAGCCAGAGGCAGAAAAACTATCTTCATAAAGAAGAAGGACAAAGAGTCTTGCCCTTATCTCAACATCATGCAGTCAGTCTGGGATCACATGAGGAGACAGAAGACACTGAGTCTGCCTAAATCTCCAAGATGAAGAATCTACCTGTCAAGTATTCTTCTGTTTACTGAACTTTGTGCAATGGTATTGATAAATTAAAACTCTTCATGGCATTATTTTTGAAAGTATCTTCACTTTACTTTTAGTGCCTAAAACTTTGCCACAGTGCTGCATGTCCTTGGTGCTTGTTGAGTGCTGAGGTTACAGGACTAGATACCAATTGCCAAGAGTTTTAACAGTCTGGGAGTTTAGGTCTACATAAATTTGAATGATCACAAATTTGTTTGAAATTTGCACTGCAAATATCCACAATATCAACTTTGACACATTGTAGCCTTACCTTGTCGAGAAACTCTGTGCCACCTTAATTGTTTGTTATAGGAGTATTTTTCAGACTGCTTCCATTGTTTCTGTGTCAAGTAATTAACATCATAGGAGTACTGTAACAGTTATTTAGATTTTCAATATGTAGACAATTATTTTCTTTAATAATCAATTGATCTGAACATATGAAAATTACAGTCAAAAATACAAAGAGTTTACTGTCATATGGAACTATTCATGTTTGAGAAGCTGGAACCACTGAATTAAAAAACAAAAACAAAAAAACAAAGCATGATGACAAAATTGTTGCCGATGAATTTGCATGTATAGTGACGGTCAAAAGGGTCCAGCAACAAATACTTGCCCTCTCACAGGTTAATGTGACCACAGTGTTGTTAAATTTGAGTTTTTCCAGGTCGTATTTTATCAATGCAACTTTTAAAGTGCTGCACTGGCTGATCAGCCACATCAGTCTACCTGTTGCAAAGACAGTCTGACGCCAAGCACTTTCAGGCATGTTGATGTGTATAGCTCTGTGTCTGGTCTGTCACCAGAGTTCATTAATAGCAAACTGCTCTAAAAAGTCCAGAGTGACATCACAGTGAAGGGTGGACGATAAAGACATGGAGACAGACAGGAGGTGATGATACAGTGGCGAATAGTGTGTTTGTACAGTGTACGATACACACCACACAAACACAAACACACACACACACACACACACACACACACACACACACACACACACACACACACACACACACACACACACACACACACACACACACTTTCCAAATTCACTTGTAATGCAAATAACACACACTGCCGCACGTGCTGGATTAAATATTCAAAGGATGAAAACAGGTGAGTAAAGGTTATTTCCTGGTAGGTGATGGCAGACGATAAGAGCTACTTCAGAGGAAAGAGGGTGTGAACCATCTCATATGACTCAGGAGCTTTGGTTGTACACGAAAAGTGGAAAACTGAGCCTGTACAGACCAGATAGCACTTTACTGATCTTCCTATTGATTAGACAGCATGTCTGTATCTACACATGTCGGCTTATGACTTGTTTGTAAACACTGTGTCTTCACGTGAGCAGGCACATTTACTCTGCGTGTGTCCATAAATCGAAATGTGTGCTAATCCCCATGCGTATGGTATATACATTCATCCATTAGTGAGTTAGTGCACTGCTTCTGTGCTCGCAGGCTTGTGTGTCCTTGTTTGTAATCTGTCTAAATCTCTGTGACTAAGTGAGTGTCTCCAGTCCTTCACAGCAGAGCGTCCCTCCCATCAGCTTAAAACCAGGCCTGTGCACGGCTTCAGTGTCTGCAGCAGAATAATTCACGCTGTCCCTAATCTCATCCCTATTTCCATGTATTCCATTGCCACTGTCACTCGTGTGCCGTCCTGTGGCTTTGGCTTGCTGAAGAATTTTTGCCAATAATTTATGTTATATCAAACATATTTGGCATTCATCAGATATATTTCATTTTTATAATTACACAACAAAATCCACATAAAATCAATTGTTTAGTTTTTTTTCTGGTTAAAGACAGCTTGAGTTCAAACCCATTATTTCTCATTGGCTATAATTTAACACAGTCAAGTGTGTAACTAAACTGCACCGATCATAACTCATTCTGTCTTTGATACATCACGTTTCTGTGCAAACACTTGTGTAGCTCTGGCTGAAATAAACTCGGTAAACAGATCATTTTGAAATGTAGACTGCAACTGAACTCTGCAGTAGCAGAAACATATTCAGGTTGAAGCTTAAAACACAGATCATCATGAAACACATATACATAAAATTAAATCTTGATTTCAACACGAACATTTCCATAATACAATCAACTGTAATGAATGCATGCTTTCATTTTGCTGGATATTTATGACTTTTTTCTGACATTTAATGTAAAAAATTAATCAGCAGATTAATCAATAATAAAAAATATTGGCTAGCTGCAGACCTAGACTCACAACTCTGCAGCAGAACTGCTCTGCAAGGGCTTAAACCTCACACTGAATCTTTGCAGTTACATTTCTCCCACTCCCTTCCTTCCATATCACACGAAGACAAGAAGACACTCATGTTAAACCTGTGTGTTTAACATGTTTGTGGCTGCTTGGTAAAGTAACAACTAGTGAAGGACTCATTAAAATATTCATCAGAAGCAGCAACTTGTCTACGACTTTGCCCAAGAACTTGCACCAAGTGGAAGCCTGTGCACACACACATATGCACATACATGACCTTGCAGCACATGCAGACACACAATTTATTTATTAGATAGATACACACACATGCACACAGACACACCCACTCTCTTCAGTGTCTGCATGCTGAGCTTCACCGCAGCTCAGCAGATTGTGGCAGAGCTGCTTCAGTATGCAGCACGTTTGGGTGAGCAGGGGGGAGGAGGGCGAGACTTGGAAGTGGGTCAAGGCTTTCAGAAGACATCCGCAGCACCGAGCCAGGAGCTACTCAGCTGTCTTGGCTCTTTCTGCTGCTCAGTAACTGCCTTTCACTACACACACACACCCTGCACACCCCTGCTGGGGCAAAGTCATACCTGGGGAGGATACAGGAAGGTGCACGAAGAAGTGCTTGTATGCACTCTATGCACTCTATATACACACACACACACACACACACACACACACACACACACACACACACACACACAGGCAAGAGTGATCTTAATGCACTGAGGTTCAGCTCCTTCGCAGAAATGTTTCTCTGAGCAGAGCTGGGAGTGGCAGCAGAGTATTAAAGATATGGGTGAATACATTAGTGACTCCCAGATGGAGAAGGCAAATTTCTGCCTTTAGGACAAGAATCTTATCTCAGAGGGAGAGGAAACAGACAGGAACGCTCCGTTACAACCCAAGACTCCCATGGATGGAAAAAAAGAAAAATAAACACCACCCTAATAAATAAAAATGAATGCTTCTACCAAGATTGTGGTTAATGTGTTAATGTGTGTTTTTTGTGTTCACATTCGGGCGAATTTGTGACTGCATTTGTGTGTGGATCGGCATTGACGTGTAAGAGGATTATCAGAGTAAAAGACTGTGAGTCTTTGCACACTGTGCTATGATGCTTTGAAAATCAGTTTCTCACACTCTGCTAAGCTCCGACACCTTACTGTGCAAACCCCCCCCCCCCAAAAAAAAACAAAATAACAGACAGTCTAAATACTGCATGCCCTTTTGCTTAGCAGTTAAAAATGTTCAAGGTCAGCAGAGAGAGAAATGAGCTTGAGGAAATCTATAAGAGAGCATAGAAAAAGCAATGTCAGAAAGGGCAGACAAAAAGATAATGAAGACTAAACAACATTGGCGGCTTGACTGATTGAAGATACAATGACCAGGGGAACAAGAAAAAAGTGAAAGGCAAAGAAAAGGCTGCTCGGACGTAAATAACTGAGAGGGAGCAGAGCAGATTTCAGACACCATGAAACCCAGCTGTAT